ATTTAAAGACAAAAAAAAAAGAAAATAAAAAAATGTTAGAAATGCAAGTAAAATATAATTATATTTCATTTACATTTCATCTATTATTTTTTTTTTTCCTTTTTAAATTATCTATCCAAATTCGTGATCCAATAGCCGTGTAGAATCATGAATGCCCAACAGCTTGAACATATATATCAACATGACTCAGAAGGTTAAGCTCAAATTGTTAGCAATAGTCTCTTCTTAATTTTTTTTTTTTTTTTACTTTTATTTATTATTATTTTTTTTTTTTTTTGGGCAAACTGGACAACTTCGCTAATCTCATGATAGCACTGAAAATAAGATATAAAATTAAAGAGATTTGCTTTGTCCTTTTCTTTTATTTTATATCTTTTGTTTTGTGTTGGTTCAGAAATTTGAATTTGTTAAAATAAAAAAAATAAAAAATAGTCATACCTATTTATTATTTTAATTTCATTTCATTCCCACCACTTTTCTATTCCTTTGAGTTATTTTTTTCCAGCAAATCCAATATCGAAACAAACCTTTGAAAGGGAGAGATAATTTTGAAGGAGTTCAAAGGTAGAATTATGGAAGCAGGGACAATTGGACACTGTGAATGTATGATATTTGTGTGTTCCATTTTCTTTGTTTCTCTGGTTTAATACATTTTTAATTATTAAATTATATATCCAAATGCTTATGCCTTTGAAATTTTTATGTAATTTTGCAATAGAAATTTAATATGACAGAATAAACAAAAATAAAAAATTATAAAGATGAACAATCCTTGGACCAGACTTAGGAACAACAACAAAGACTTGGCGTACAAGAAACCCAAAAGGGTAAGTGATGTTAAAGCAAATAATATCCATCAAGCAAAAAGAACATCCCACCTACCGATGCTCTGCATACATGATAGTAGTATGGAGAGAGATTATTCTTTATATTTTTATACATCTTTTATATGTTTTAATGTATTTTTTTTACATTTTTCGACACTAAAATCCTTAAAACTAATTTTAACATTTTTCAAAACAATAAAACAATCAAAATTTTTTATTTCAAAATCTCTCTATTATCTTCTGTCTTAAAACTTACAATCATTGGATATCTAAGAGTTTTGATAATTACAAATCTCAAGACATAATAGTGTAATTATTTTTTGGTAAGATGACAGATTATTATGTCAAAATAAAATTATTCTTTCACTTATTGGCTAAAATTAATGGAGAATTTTTTTTAAGGTCCCTAATAATAATAATTTAGAGGATGAAGGACACCCAAAAAAATAGTGATGCATCAGGTCCCTGAACAACTTGACGCGCGTTTTTAATTATTTTGTGGACCAAAATACCCTTACCAAAATCAACACAGAAACGAAACTCATTCTGACGTCTGAGTTCCATTCCAAGCATCCGGCATCTTCACGAACAGGAGAACAGCAGAATTAGGGTTTCAACATCATCTGCACCATCGACATTACAGCTTCGTTATCTTCTCCAAAAATCATTCCCATTCCTTCCTCACAAATTTCTCTGACCTAGGTTAAAGCTTTGTTTTCACTGCTCATCATCATCTCAGTCCATCTTCGTTACGTCACATCTTCATCTCGGGCCATATCAGCTCGTCATTCAAGTTTCATCTTAACTTTGGTCAGTTTTTCTACAATACAACTAGATTTTCTATGGAAACACAGTTAATAGCATTTTATAATAACCTTCCATAAATTAGGATTTCAATTTCGTAATAAAAAGCTACCTGAATTTGGAAAAAGTTATTTCTGTGTGTTTTGAACTTATTCTTGAACATGTTTGTGTGATTTTATCTGTAAATTTCTCTGGCATTTGAATTTCTCTGATTTTTGTTTGATGTATGTTTCTTCTTTCAATTTTCTCTGGCATGTTTATTTTCACAAAAACAATTTTCTGTGTTTTTATCTTATTCTTGAACATGTTTCTGTAATTTTGTCTTGCATGCACCGGGCTCGGCACATCATACTAACTGCATAGTATTTCAATTCCAACTTGAATACATGTATCGAGTTGCCGCATTTCACATGTCATTCTTAGAATAGCCGAGCCTATTTTAGTTGCATTTTTGCATGTGTTGCATTAGCCATCTTAACATGAACTAGGATCATGCATGATTCCTAACTAGTTTCTTGTTTTGGCTCGAAGTACTAGGTAAGTTTTTACGCTTTAGCACCTTGCATGAGTGTGAGTGTTGCCATGATAGTATGCTTGCCATGAGGTTATCTGCTTATGTGATATAACTGCCTGAATGCCTGTGGGTGAAGGTTAGGTCGTTTGAATTGGAATAATTCGTCGAAACCCGTGTTTTAGCCTACTTACAAGTAGCAAACTTCAATCCATTTTCAAAACAAACGGCTATGCGATACTTTGTTCCAAATTAGGCAATCTAGTCTATACTTGTATGCTGTGCGCATCACATAGTAATTCTAGGATAAGAACCGGTTTAAGAACGCATAATGTTTTCAAAACTTGATATCATAGTTAGTAGAGGCCGATCTTTGATCGGGCGAGCAGGGGTGCTCACGAAGTGACCTTCCCCAATCGTACCCATGTTCCTGAGCCGAGACAACTTTGGTGATGACGGACACGTGGTCATAGGCACGAGTCATGGTTTCTTAAATTCTCCCAAAATAAAATATTTAGGTGGCCACTCTGTATCTGGCAAAGTAGTCCATGTTTGGCACTTCTTTCTAAAAATCAATTTTTCAAAACGATTTGCCGGATTTGGACTCTTTGATGATTCATCGGTCTTGCATTGCATTTTGCGAGATTAGATACAGCACCGTGACATTGAGTCCGAACTGTAGTAAGCCCAATGAACAAAACGGGATTCCCTCTCGGGACGTTCGGGGACGTCTACAGGGTGTGACTTCTCTGTCAAGTTACCATATTATCTATAAATACCAGGCCAAGATCAAGACAACACTTCACTTGAATTTCTCTCTATTTTTTGTCTCTTCTGGATTTTATTCTCCTGCGTGATAAACACCCTCACGGGAATTCCGACTTATTGCCATTGTTAAGGCAATCTTTCACAATGTGGTATATGTCTAGTGGGAGGATTTTTAAGCATGAGTGTCGAAGATCTTGCAAGACATATAATGATGTTTAATTCTCTAATATTACTAATAATAATATTATTATTATTTACACGCACATTAATTATTCTAAAATTTGCTAGAAATAATTCTTAATTGAAGGTTTATAATTAGACAATTATAGAAATAAGTTTAAAGATTGGTGGCTACAAAAATTAAGCAGTTAAATATATTTATCACCATTAATTAAAAAAAATATAATCACTGAAATAAATTAATAATATAAAAATACAGTTATCACAATATATAATACTCAAGGATATATATTTAGGATATGAAATGAATTGTATACAATGTGAGGTTATTTTGATTATGTTTAATTATGGTAAGATGTAATATGAGATAAGAGAAAATAAATATTTTTAACGGTTTCATGGAACATATGGATATCCAAACTTTCCCTAGTTGGAGTAACCAAACAACCACATGTTTTTAGTATGTTTTCTTTTTCATTTAGGGAAATGCTATTTCAAGAATAAAAGTTGAGAAAAAAATATTTTTTTTATTTAAAAATTTAAGATTCAAACATAATACTACAATTAATAAAACAAAGAGAAATGATATATAAATGTAATTTTTGAATAGAATGATGTAGTTTTTTTTTATAATATTTTTATTTTTAATTAAAACGCTTATTATTATTTCTATAATTTTAAAAATGTGAGTGTATTTAATGTATAAATATTCTATTTTCCCAATCACCACTCAAAAAGAAAAAAGAAAAAAATCAAAAATGAAGAAATGTGAGTGACATTCTTTTATGAGTTACAATCAGTTGTGGCCAAATTATTATATATATTTTTTCAACGTATACTTTAAGGTATATATTAACATAATTTTAAAAATATATATGTGTTTTTTTATTCACACACTTTAATATAAAATATATAATATTTTAAAATTACTCAACATATATTCACATATTAATAAAATATTTTTATAAATTTTTTAAAGACTTATGCGGGATTTTGACTCCATTAATTTTTTTTATTATATATCTAATTATTATAAAACAAGAATGTAAAAATAATTATTGCACAATGGACCAGACTATTCCAAATTTATAATTGAGGGGATGACAATCAGCTTGTGCGGAGATACATCTGAATTTGTTATTACCCAACTCGGATGGACAAAACTAAACCTATGTTTGGATTGAGTGATTTGGAGAGAAAAGAAAAGAAATAGAGTGATATGTATTTTTTTTATTTGTTTGAATAACTTAAGTAGAGAAAAATGGGAAGAAATGGAGAGAAATGGAGAGAAACTCATCCAGGCTATTCCAAATTTATAATTGAGGGGATGACAATCAGCTTGTGCGGAGATACATCTGAATCTGTTATTACCCAACTCGGATGGACAAAACTAACGCTATGTTTGGATTGAGTGATTTGGAGAGAAAAGAAAAGAAATAGAGTGATATGTATTTTTTTTATTTGTTTGAATAACTTAAGTAGAGAAAAATGGGAAGAAATGGAGAGAAATGGAGAGAAACTCATTTCTCTTATAAGCCTCATTTTCAATCTTCTCCAAAGTAGAGAGATTGAGAGAGAAAAGAAACCACTATTTTTATAATACCAATTTTATCCCTATAAAAATAAAAGAAATAAAATGATTGAAAATATAAAAAGGTTATTTTGGTAATATAACATAAAATAATTACTTTTATTTTCTCTTAATGAAACCTAACCAAACAAGAATGAGAGAAATTACAATCATTTCTTTTCTTTTATTCTTTCCTTATCCAAAAAAAAAAAAAAAAAAATCACAATCATTTCTTTTCTTTTCTTTTCTCTTATTACTTAATCTTATTACTTAAGTAATCCTATCTTTTCTCTCGTCTCTTACCTTCCCAATCATAGTGTTAAACCTTAATTTATCTGATCAGTTTGGTTGGACAAAACTAAACCTTAATTTATCTGATCAGTTTTGGCTTTATCAACAGATAAAAACATAGTTGGGTTGTAAATTTTTTATTTTTTTATTTTCTGAATCCCAACCGCACGCACAGTCTTAGATGCTGCGATCCAATTCTGAGGAGAAGGGATCTAATGAATTAGCTTCTCTAATCTGATCTGATCTGATCTGATCTGATCTCTGCCCCCTCCTTGGAAACAGCAATGGAAAATCAATTGCTTGTGCAATTTTTCATGGCAAGTGTAGTAGGGCTGTTGTGTGTATCTTCTTTATCACCTTCTTCTCTGAAAGTTAAAGATAAAGTGAGTAGTATTAGTAGTAGTAGTGATGGGTCTGCATCATCATCGGCGGTGGGAGACCCAGGAATGACAAGAGACGAACTCAGAGTAGCCTTCGAAGCTTGGAACTTTTGCAATGAAGTTGGCAAACAAGAAGCTCCTTCCATGGGTAGCCCCAGAGCTGCCGATTGTTTTGATCTTTCAAGTATGTCAATCACACCCACTTCAAAACACAAATTACTATATTTAACTCCAACGATAATTTTTCATTTTTTAATTTTTCTTTATTTTATATAATTTATATGCCTAGAATATTTAGTTCACTGATCTGTTTCTTTTATTATTATAATTAAATGCATCCCACTACACATATAGGTTCAATCCCTCTATTTCCCTGATTTTTCCAGATTACCCTTTTTATATCCTCTAACTTGTTTTTTTTATTTTTTTTTCTCTAAGATGTTCTGGTTCTATGTTGTAAAGAAGCAGATTACTCTCTGAATCACAAAGTAACAGAGGCAGATAACAAACTTGGTGTGGGGAAGCCATTCCCTGGTTTGACTCAAAAAGCTCTAAGCAATCCAGACCTTTATGCAGTGGAGAAGGAGCTTTATCTGGGTTCTTTATGCCAAGTTTTGGACAACCCAAATTCAAAACCATGGCAATTTTGGATGATTATGTTGAAAAATGGAAACTATGACACAATGTCTGGTTTGTGTCCAGAGAATGGGAAGAAGGTACCCCCTTTTAAACCTGGAAGATTTCCGTGTTTCGGAGATGGGTGTATGAATCAACCCCTCTTGTATCATCAACCCACGAGTTTATCAAGTAATGGTACAATGATTGGGGGTTTTCGTGGTACCTATGATTTGGATTCTGATATTAAAGGTGGGATCAGTGGGATTTCTTATTTTGAGGTTGTTTGGGAGAAGAAAGTTGGTGTTGGAAGTTGGGTTTTTAGTCATAAACTACAAACCTCAAAATTGTATCCATGGCTGATGTTGTACCTTAGAGCTGATGCAACCAAAGGTTTCTCTGGAGGCTATCACTATGACACCAGAGGAATGCTCAAAACTGTAAGTGCAATCCCTCTGCATTTCATTCTTTGCAAATTTAAACTTGTTCTAGGATTTGGTCTGTTCTCAAATGGCTAATTTAAAGGAAAAATGCATAGTTTGGCTCATACTGTTTGGGAAAATCTAATTCGAGATGTGCAGATAGAGATTTGGTAACCTCACTTGACACAATGATATTGAAAAATTTAAAATTTCCGAGATATTGATTTGTGATTATGTTTCAATTTTAAAAAATGAATAACAAGTCCAATCAAACAATCAAAGACAAATCGACACAATGATTTAACGTGGAAAGATCACAATTGAAGTGCCTCCAATTGTAACAAAAAAACCACGGGCCAAAATCACAAAACAATCCACTAAGGCAAAAAGAAATTATGCATGTGTACCCTCAATTACCTAGCAAATTCATGCCCGAATTGAACCGACCCTGATGTGCCTCTTCTGTCTTCGCCTCGGAATTGTCTTGCCCAACGTTGAATTCACAACATTGATGTTGAATCCATCATGATGAGCCACTCCGGAATTCATCAAAGTTTCAGGCCCAAGTTCCCTGAATCCACCGAAGAATAACTCTCTATTTTGTGAATAAAAGAAAACAAACAAATCCTTTGATGATGTTGATTCAAAGTTCATGGATCCATTGATCACTCTTACATCATCAAGGAAACACTCATAAAGCACCCTCCAATATAAAATGCTTTGTTTTTTCTTCTTCTTTGAAAATCTGGATGGTTTAAACCCTAAACGAGCAAACAACGCACTTTATAGTAAATTGGATCACGAAGACCGCTTGAGCGCACACTTCACTACTCGAGTGGTGTGAGTAAAGGCGGTGCAAAACATATAGGCTGTCCGCATGACCGCAACATTCACTACTCGAGTGGTAAAATTTACTTCCCAGAAGTTGAGACGCTCTGCAAAAATATTGGATAATTATTTTCTCCGCTTGAGTGCACAAATGACCACTCGAGTGGTCAAACAGCTTCGACTTCATTTTTGCTTAAGTGGCAAACATGAAAGGATTAAGATCACAAACTTCTCTGCATAGGCATAATTCGGGTTAGATTCGCACCTAAACACTCATAACTTCACTGAAACAAAAGAGCGAATGATATTACAACTGAAAGGAGTTTTTTCAAACGGGATTGCCAATTACAAAAACCTAACATATACCACAATTGCTCCATCAATAAAATAGAGAAGGAACCCCCTTTCTAGACCATGATGTTTATGGAAAAATGTATAGCAGTGACTATCAATTCAAATTTAACTTTGATGAAGGGACAATTAAATAATTGAATATTTTATTGTCTTTATGCCTCAATGGATTACTCATTCTATATTAATCAATATAAAACTCCATATCAAATACGTGGTTAAAATAAAAAATAAAAATACATGGTTCATAATTTGTAGATTAAACTTTCTACCAGACCTGTTTCGACTGGTACAGAGTCTACAGGCATGGAAAAAGATTGGTCTGGGGTAGTAGATCACCAGCTGCATGGGTTTCCTTTAGAATGCAGGTAATGTTACATGGCAGTTATGTTTGGATATTGGATTTGTGGAGGGAAAGAAAAAGGAAAAAACTAGGAAAAGAAAATCAAGTCAAAGATGGTAGATTTAACTTTATTTGGGTTAGGAAAATGAGAATAAAATTAATAGCATTTGTGAAAAATATTAATTTTCTTGTTTGCTTATCCATAAAACATGAATATTTTAAGTAACTTTGTTTCCCTTGACAAATTCTAGCTCCAAACACAGCACAAATGTTTGCTGGTGCATGCATGATTTAGTTGTTTGACATTCAGCATCATGGTACCGGGGTTATGGGTGAGACTAGATTTTATTTTTTGGTAAACAAAGAAAAGAAAGAATAACTGAAATGTCAAATAGGCAGACCATATATTTCTTATACCACATGAAGCATATTCATCAATGTAAAACTTAAATCTAGGTACAAATAGAGAACATTTGTTTTTCTGGTTCCTCCTAAACTTCATCGAACTCCAGTTATACAACTATTTACTTGACATTACTATGAAACAAGTTGACCGACAAAGCCTGAGACAGACATTCCATTTTGGTGCTCAGCCACTCTTTCTTGTGTCTCTTAACTACTCAAGTCAAAAGGATTGATCCAGTGAGTAAGCCTTCTCCGTTTTCAATATTTTCAGAAAGGCTAATATAAGTCACAAATTAATTGTGTTTCAGCTTCCAGAGTCCCCTAATTTCAAGGTCAGATTGACATTGGATGTGAAGCAAGGGGGTGGACCTAAGAGCCAGTTCTACCTAATAGATATAGGTAGCTGCTGGAAGAATAATGGTGCACCCTGTGATGGAGATGTGCTCACCGACATAACCAGGTACAGTGAGATGATCATTAACCCCAATATTGAAGCTTGGTGCAGCAGTACGAGTTTGGGGAACTGTCCGCCATTCCACATCACTCCAAACAACACAAAAATTTACAGGAATGATACTGCAAACTTCCCTTATTCGGCTTATCACTACTACTGTGCTCCTGGGAATGCCCGGCACTTGGAAAAACCTTATAGCACTTGTGATCCTTACAGCAATCCCCAGGCACAGGAGCTGCTTCAGTTGCTGCCTCATCCAATCTGGGCCGAGTATGGATATCCAACTAAACAAGGAGACGGTTGGGTTGGGGATGCTAGAACTTGGGAGCTCGATGTTGGTGGCCTTTCCAGTAGACTCTACTTCTATCAGGTCAGTAATTTAAAAAAACCTCCTGTAGAAGCATACTTCTTCTTCATCTTCTTTTTATTTTATTTTTTAAATTTTTAATTTTTATAGATGTATGATAGCTGACAGAGGCTTTCTTCTTCTACTGCAGGATCCGGGAACTGCTCCTGCAAGAAGAATATGGACATCTCTTGATGTGGGAACTGAAATATTTGTTAGTGACAAAGATGAAGTGGCAGAATGGACATTGAGTGATTTCGATGTTATTCTGACTTCTCCAACTGAACAATTTAAATAATTTTTCGCTATGTAGCTTGTGAAAGTTAGTTTTCTTCTGTTGTTAGGCAAGAAAAAATTGGGATGATATGTGTGGTATATGCTCCACTGCAGTTAGAAAAGTTTCATCTGCTGGGAGCAGAAGCCAAACAAGCCCTAAAGAGGGCAGAGGTCTTTGTATTGTTGAGGCACCCACAGGGTCACCCAGAGTCATCCTGTTTCTCAAATCTTTTTATTTATTTATTGTTATTTAACTTTGTCAGTGAATCTTGTACAAAATGATTTCATGCTCGAAAATTTCATATAATTTTGCTATATCTAATTTGGTTTTAGAAGAACATTTAGATCTCTGTCTCCAGAAAGCAGTAACAGCGTTCTTAATTGCATTAGTTGTCATCACAATCAATCTAAAACACCATCTAAAAAAATGACTTACTTTAAGGAAAATTTCATATAAATGGACTTGACTTTAAAAAATAAAAAAAATAAAAAAAAATTGCAAGCCAGTGAGCAACTTTTCAAAATACAGAAATGGATGGTGCTAAAAAATTATCAAACTCGATGGAATTTTATTCTTCTCCCTCTCTTCACTCTGTAATGATGCTGATTTCACACGCACAAAAACAGACACACCAAAAAAAGAAGCAGCTGGTTCTTTTCCTTCAACAAATTCAATTCAAACACAACATTAAGAAAATTCGTTACGCTCATGTTGTTGAATGGATCCATATGCAACCATTTTTCTCACTCTGAATACAACGAAAATGAAGTGCAGATTTAATATTCTCCAATTGAAAATACCGAAAACATCTGCCAGAATAAAGCTAATAGCTACCTGCCATTGCTTCTCAATATATTATTATTATTATTAATCAGAGTTCAATAACAGAAACTCCCAAACTTGCACATGTATATATAGTTTGAAATGTCAATTTTTTTTTTTTCCCTTCTGAATCATTTGGCTGACAACTTGTGTTTTTACAAACAAGGCATTGATCACACCTTACACACAATAAAAAGCACATAAATCAACATACTTTCACTTAGAAAACCTGCAGCTTTGTTGCTTCTGTGTCCTCGGAGCAGTTATGAGCTAGCTTGACTGAAAATCAAAGTGCTTCAATGACTAGTCTTTTATGTCCAATTGAACCAGGAAGCTGAAAACAAAGGTATGACAGAAAAGAAAAAAGGAAAAAAGATCAGAGTAATTTGATTTTGCTTTTGTGATTTTATTTCAAAATTGGAAGAGTAGATCTGGTGAGTCATTGTTCTAAAAACTATTTCCAACCTACCTGTTTGCCAAATGAACTCCAATTTTATCTGATATACTGCTAATTCTGCTATATATACAGCAAAGAGGCAGACCATGAAGGCCTAAACCATACTCTTGCTATTCATATGCTTAAATGGGTATATGTATATGTATAATACTGACATTAAATCAAAATCCTTTGATGTATCTCAGCTTAAGCCCGCCTGCCGCAGAGATCCCAAAACTCATCAGCTTGAGCAATCTATCTATGATGAAGAATACTCTGCTTATCATAGATCCAGTTTTGAATCATAATATAATTAAAAGCATCATTCAAACATGTAGACAAGTAACAGAATTCCAACAAGTGATACGTAGGGGTGTTGACAGCAAAACGCCACAGTAAATTCTAATTGAGTTTTTGCAACCCTATATTTCCAAAATAGCAAACATGAAATGAATAAAATGAGAATCAGAATGGAGCAACATAAATGAAAAACAAAGAGAAGTTAAGAACATAATTCACATGTTCAATTAACAAATTCGAGATCTCTGCTCAATTGTCTGTTTTGTTCAATATATAGCATACACTAGAGCAATAAAAAATTTTGTATAATTTTCCAAACATAAACTGTTGTTTTGCGAGTGGGTGCATGAGAGAGAGAGAGAGAGAGAGAGTAAATACTTGTGATATTGTTGGTCACTCAACTTGGAAGCAGGTCTGAGTGTCTCCAAGTTTGTGATCAAGTTTGCCAGATTCAATGAATTTCAAGTCCTCCAAGAGGATCACATAATGTTTCAGAACATCTAGTGCGCTCTTCTTTCCCCCAACCATGGCTGCCACCGTCTCCCACCGATCAGGGTCTTCCTCGTCAACCACTGCTAAAGCCAACTCAAACAATTTGTTCTCTTCCCAACTCCATCCACTTACACCATTCCCAAAATCATCCATTATATTTTTCCCTCACTCACTCACAACTCACAACACCCAAACCAGATTCTTGACTTTCCAAGAAATTATGTGGTAGACCCAAGATTCATTAATCATTCGTATTCATCGAAACAAAAACAAAAGAATCAATGGGGTACAGAATCTTGCAAAACCCAATATGTTTAAAAAATACTCCAAATATTTAATTTTTAATCCATGTAGGCCAAAACTGGAAACTGATAATCAGAAAAGGACAAAACCCATACCAAAATCACCATTTATCGCGAGACCCAGAATCTTTTTTTTTGGTTTCCCAATTCTAGCATTGGATTCTAATTGGTGTTAAGAGTGTTAGATCTGAATAAATAGAAAAGTGATTAGCCCAATTATGGAAGAGAAGGGACATTGCAGAAATGAAAGAGACTTGTGTGGGTAGGATTTATCCCAATTGATTACTTGATTTTTTTTTTCTTTTCGTAAATTTTCAAGGCAATCAAAACCTAGTCATTTTCCAAAGTTTTTTTAGCTGGCTGGCAAGTAGAGATAGGACTGGGAGGTAGATAAGAGAGACAAATAAAACCACTAAAAAGGAGAAAAAAGTTAACAAAAAAGCATGTTTCTTTTTAGTATATGTCAAGGCTTGCTAGCTGGATACATATGTCAGCAAAGTGAAAACTTAAAAAACTCCTAAATTCAAATTCTGCATTCCCCTTTTTTTTTTTTTTTTTTTTTTTTTTTCTCCCATTTTGATCAAAAATTTGATTAAAAATTTTTGGAAAAAAAAAAAAAATTAGACTTGCCTGCGGCAGTACAAGGTACTCTAACTACCAGCAAAAAAAGAAAAGTACAAAAAAAAAAAGAAAGAAGAAGAAAAGCAGCAAAATCTGGATCAATGTCAAGCGGCCTTAGGCCTAAGGGTCTGTCCTCGTCCTCTTCCTGGACAAAGGTCCAAGAGCATCGTTATCAGCGCCATCATCTGAGCCTGAGTCAGTGCCATCTCCGGTCTCCTCCTCAGATGACTCTACCTCCGCCTCCGTCTCCGCCTCGGACTCATCGTCATCGGGGACTGGTGCTCGTGAGCTACTCCCAACATGAGGGCGCCCCGCCTTGGTGCGAGGGAATACTCTTCCCTCCTCATCTCTCCCTCGGGCGGGGACGGAAGGTCCAAAAAAGAAAATGAAAAGAAGCTCGCA